TGAGAAACTTCCAAGTAGTGTTCCTCCACAAAAAGAAATTCTAGTGATAGACAGGTATCATGTTCCATCAAACTCCCTAGATGTGATAAGACAGAGTGATGGAGTGGGCTACCGATTGTGACTCTGGGAGACCAGCAGTTGTCTAGGTGGCTAAAAAGACCACTCTGGGAAAATGGCATCTGAGCTGAGATACTTGAGAGACTGATGGAAAGGGCCCTAGGGGAATGTGCTAGGTTTGTGGTCAGGGTATTTTAGACAAGCAGAACAGCAAGAAAACAGTGTAGAGGCTGGGAAAGCTCATCACACTCAAGTCAAGATGGGAGGGGAGCTGGTGTGGTGCAGTCCCTGCCCTCCGGAGGCTGAGGCTGAGACAAGATTACTATGAGTCCCAGGTAGAGATTCTCCCCTTATCCCCTTCCCCACAAAGGCAATATATAGGGAACCAAAGGAGGGAGAGAGGGAGGAAGAGGAGGGAGAGTAAAAGAGAGAGAAGGAAAAAGAAGAGGTGGGTCACAAAATGAAATCAGTCAAGGCCAAGAAGCAGTTAGAGCTTGGGGAGACATTTTGCCAATGGAGGAGACAAAAACAGAGCTAGACTTTGACATCCTGGTCTTCCTGAGAGGATGAAGCAGGAGGATCAAAAGTTAATACTAGATAGGTTGTAGAGTGAACTGGAAGCCAGCCTGAACAACTGAGTGAGAATCTGTCTTAAAATGAAAGGTAATCAGAGAGTGGAGTATGTGACTCAGTGGTAGAGCACCTGCCTAGAATCCCCCAGTGAGGGGCTGGGAGTGTGACTCAGTGGTAGAGCACCTGCCTAGAATCCCCCAGTGAGGGGCTGGGGTGAGGCTCAGTGGTAGAGCACCTGCCTAGAATAAGGGTCTGGGTACCATCCCCAGATGTGCAAATTAAGTCAATAAATAGTCCCCTTGCTAGTTCAAGTGTCAATTGTAATAACTCTTCTGGAAAGTACATTGACCTAAAAAACATGCCTACTCTTTGGTCGAGAAAATCTAACCCAAGGAATTAGTTCTAAATATAGAAAGGCTTTACATCCTAAGATGCTGGTGACAACAGCAAGCACTGCAGGTGGCCACGTACTTGAAGAAGATGCAGGCGTCATATGCCTCCCAGCAGGAAACAATGTGAATGATACATTGAGAAACCCAAGAAAATCAGCGGAATCATGTGTAAGCCCTACAGAGAACTCTTAAGTCTCCAAGATATGCACATGGTTAGAAAGGATTTAGAATAATATGGGAAGCCAGCAGTGTGAGAGTGTTAAGTGACACAGAAATAGGAAGTGGGACAGATTCCAAAAGATAACTTCCACTCTCTCTGTATAGAAAAACCAGAGGAGTCAGTAAAATGATTTTCTGGGAAGTGATAAATGAGCAGAAACCTGCCATCAGAAGAGAAAGGAACTTAGGGGCTGGGGAGAAGGCTCAGCCAGCAAAGTACTTGCTGTGTAAGCATGAGGACCCGAGTTAAAGTCCCCAGAGCCTACATAAAGAATGGTGACATATACCTGCAATCCCAATGTTAGGGAGGCAGAGAAAAGAGAGTTCTTGGGGCTAGTTCTCCAGACATTCTAGCCAAATCGTCTAACTCCAGGTTCAGTGAAAGATCTATCTCAACAAATATGATGGGGTCGACAAGATGGCTCATCAACACACACACACACACACACACACAAACACACACACACCCCAAAAGTAAGCAACTTACATAGAACAAGGCCTGGAGTGGATAGAGAGGAGTGTCATAAAAAATTCTTACTTCTATGCTTCATGCACTGGGCTTCTTTGATGGCTTCTCATAATAATAAAAAATCCCATCAAAGTTTTAAAGGTGATGGAATCCCAATGTTATGTAAAAGCATGAGAGAGAGAGAGAGAGAGAGATCCTTCAACCCGATGAAGATTACCCTAAGAAAACAAGAGTAATTTCATCTTTGAATAGTAGCAAAAAGAAAAATTCTAAACAGTTACAAGAATTGAGGGAATTTCAGAAAACAGGAATATGATGCATTGCAAGTGGCAGGGTGGTCTCTCTAAAGATTTTTTAAATTTTATCCCTGTGTTTGTCTGCATATGTATATATATATATGTACATTGGTGCGTACCTACTGCCCAAGGAGGTCAGAAGAGGTCATCAGGTCCAGGTCCCCTGAAACTGGAGTTATAGTTGTGACTCACCACATGGGTGATGGGGATTGAATTCAGGGTCCTCTGCAAGTACAAGTGCTCTTAACTGCTGAGCCATCTTTCCAGCCATAAGATTTTTTAAAGGTGTGTGTGTGTGTGTGTGTGTGTGTGTACATGCACATGAATATAGATGCCCTGGGAAGCCAGATGAGAGTGTCAGATCTAGTGAAACTGGAGTTACAGGTGGTTGTGAGCAGCTTGACGTGGCTGCTGGGAACCAAACTTGAATCCTCTGCAAGAACAACTAATGTTCCTAACCACTGGGCCATTTCTCTAACTCCCCACTCAGTGTGTGTGAGCATGTGTGTGCGCTGAGGGTAGAACTCACGGCTTCACGTATGCTAGGCAGGTGCTCTACCACTGAGCCACACGCTCAGTGGTTCATCACTAACCTATGGGAAGGGGAGAACATCATATGATTATCTACATAGCTACTAAAAGGAAAAGAAAAAAAACTTTGATTAAATGTAATATGGCTGGTGATGTCATTAAGTTAGTTGAATACTTGCTTAGCATGTGTGAATCCATGAGTTCAATCCTCAGTGTGTCATGAAATGGGGTATGATGGTGTGCACCTGCGGTTCTAACACTTGGGAGGCAGGAGGGACAGAAGGTTAAGTCATCCTTACATAGCAACTTTGAGGCCAGCCTGAGCTACATGAGACATTTGTCTTCTACAAGGGAGAGAGAGAGAGAGAGAGAGAGAGAGAGAGAGAGAGAGAGAGAGAGAGAGAGAGAGAGAGAGAGAGAGAGAGAAAGGAAAAGAAAAAAAGTAAATGCATAAGTTCTATGCAAAACACAGCATGATTAACAAGCCACCTTGGGTTCTGGCACCAGAAGGGTTTTATATAGAATCCCTTGCAGATACCAAGGGACAACTGTACATTTTATTCATAGTAGTAAACTGGAGACAGGCCATGTGTTACGAATGGGAGATGGATAGAAGCCCGCAGCACGCCCACGTGTGGTGCCCACTCAGAATGTAAAGTTAAGAATTCCTCGTGCCCTGCACCTGTGTGAGCCTCGCATGAGTTACTGGAGCGAACAGACAGACACAAGGGAACACACCATGTGGCCCCATTTCTGTGAATTCCTAGAACAGACAAAAGGGCTAGCTACCTTCTGAGGGGGGAGGGGCGGCTGGAGGGAGCTATGGGGGAAGGAGGAGGCAGTGCTCTGTGCACTGGTAACACGCGTCTTGTGCATTGTGAGCATTTGTCAAAATGTGCAGCAGAAGTGTTGGTCCTGCCTGGTGATGTGTATCTGTCATCTTGGCACTCCAGGGGTGGAAGCAGGAGGATGAAGAGTTTAAGGTCATCCTTGGCTACATATGGAGTTTGAGACCAGCCTGGGCTTCCTGATACCTGTCTAAACAAAACAAAAATACCCAGCAAGCAGGTTGGAGAGATGACTCGGTAGAAAAGAGCCCTTGCTGCCCAAGCATGAGGATCTGAATTTGGATTCACAGACACCCATGTAAACAGCCAGGCACTCCTGTAACCCAGCCCTGCGGAGGTGGTGATGGAGACAGGAGGAGGGCTGGGGCTTGCTGGCTGCCCATCCAAGACTCTGTCTCAAGGGAGTAAGACTGAGAGTGACAGAGCAGGACACCTGCCATCCTCCTATGGCCTCCACACACACAGGTGCACACACTTGCACTCACATGTACATACAACACACATGCATACGGCCCACACAAGTATGATGGTGTACACCTACAACCCCAGCACTTAGGAGGTGTAGGCAGTCTGCTCAGAAGTTAAAGGACATGGTCCATGGCCAGAACTTAGTCTCAGTCTGGGTTACATCACACACACACACACACACACACACACACACATGCATCCAGGTTCTCCATCCCTCCATCCTTTCTTCTTTAATTTCTCCTTCCACTATATGGGTTCTGGGATTGAACACAGGACACCAGACTTGCCGGCAAGTGACTATCCATTGAGCTACTCCCTTAGCTAATTTTATCATGAAAAATTTAAGCATAAATGAAAGTGAAATGAGTAGCGATGGGTTCTCACAGCCTGTTTCATTTCTTTTCTCAGCTGTCAACACCCCCTCCCCATTCCACAGCCTCTGGTCCATCTTATGTTTAATGAAATTCAAAGACTCATGCCTGTCATCCCTGCACTTAAAGGGTTGAGGCAGGGAGATGGCAAGTTCAAGGTTAACCTTGGCTAAATGTCGAAACTGTCAAAAAATGAAGGAAGAAAGAAGGGAGGGAGAGAGAGAGAGAGAGAGAGAGAGAGAGAGAGAGAGAGAGAGAGAGAGAGAAAGCAATTGCAGATGTGAGGATGCTGTTCCTGCAAGTTGTCTTTTGACCTCTGCAAGTGTGCCCTCCCACAACAAGTAAATGCAATTTTAAAAATTAAAAAGAGAGAAAGAGTCCAAGGCTATCCCCTATCACCACCCCAAGGCTCTTTCAAGTCCGTCCTTTGCCATCTGTTTTCTGTGGACATAAACCTAATTTATTCCCAACTTATTAGCTTAAAGCCATTAGGATCTTTCCCATCAACTCAGAAGCAGCCAGAAGCCTGTGTAGGAGGCCTGCCCAGGACATGGGGAGAGAGGGAGGGCCATTGCTATGGCCACAGTGAGCCAGTGTGGGTGTGGCCTTCATATTGACACCTGCTCTTGTTCTCAGGGACCACGGTGCCCAGGGAGCCCTTTCATAGATAACAAGAGGACAGCTAGTAAAAGGGAAGCCAGGGCTCCACTTGGGGGATGGTGGAGATTATAATCAGTTACAGTGGTACATCCCTGGGACACATTAACCATACTTACCCTCACCGTAACACAAGAACTTGAGGTTTCTGGGCTCCTTTTGGCTGGGTCAAGTCCAAGGCATCAAAACCTGACCTCTGGCAGAGCGTCCCCTGCAGATTTGCCTAGGGACCTGCTGGAACTGTTGGCTGGGACCTAAGGATCAACTCCTGTGTGACTTGTCCTTTACTCCAGCACCATGGACAGATTCCCAAGGTCTCCTGGGTAGAAACCATAGGTTCAGTGTGGCCCCGCAACAAAATCCCTACCTAGAATCCCCGAGTAAGAAGGACTGGGGGGTGTGGCTCAAAGGCGGAGTGTTTGCTTATTGTGTAAGAGCTTGTGGGTTTAGTCCCCAGCCCTGCAAAAATCATAAAGGCATAATGCTTGCCTAGTTTACACAAAGCTCCAGTTTCAGGCCCCAACACTGGGGCAGAGCTGGTAGGGTATTAAAACTCAGCTTGCGAAGGACTGGATAGATAGCAAGGTGGTTAGAACACTGGCTACTCCTTCCAGAGGACCTGGATTTGATTCCCAGCATCCACATGGTGGGTGGTTCAACCAGCTGTAAGTCAAGCCCCAGTGTATCCAAGGGCACCAGGTACATGCATGGTGCACAAACATACATGCAGCCAAAACACACATACACATATTAAAAAAGAAGCAGTTTCCCCATGAAATCCACTCAGATTTGACTTATGAAGCATTGTGTCATAGGCTGTGAGGACACTGCACAATCCCACAGTGCTGTGTATGCATTTATCAAGGAATGCTATCACACTCTCTTAATTTCAGTAGCTGGGGAGGTGCAGGCAGGAGAATCAGGAACTTGAGGACAGTTTGGGCTATCCAGTGAGTTCTGGGCTAGCCTTGTCTCAAAAAGAGCAAACAAATAAAAAGAACAAGAAATAAAAATAAAACAAAGGAACAGGAAGAAAAAGAATTTAAAAATAAAAACAAAGAAAGGGAGGGATGAAGAAAGGAAGGAAGGAAGGATGCAGCAGAGGAGGGGACTGTCCTGGGGGTCATGGATATGCTGCCTGCCATGCGCTCCACATACTGCAGGCTCGGTGTGGAGGAGGGGGAGAGGGCTGGGCAGGGAGGTGGTGTGACATCCTTTGCTGGGATCTGCATCTTGCCATTGGGAAGTGAGCTATCACAGGAGGCGGTCCAGTTTCTTGAAGGAGCTTGTCCAAGTCACACAGTGCAGCAGGACAAATGTCCATCCCTCCTCAGCCCCCCACATCTGTCCTTCCACTGCTCCTCTGCCCCCCCTCGCCCCCAAGACTGCTGGCCTGGCAACCAGAGAGTTGTCCCCTTGTGTCACGATCTCGGCCACAATAGTGGACCTGGCCTGGTGTGGTGGATACCACTCCCGAGATCGGGCAGCAAGGGCTTGCGGGAGCTGCTGGAGGTTGGCTCGGGATCCAGGAGCTGCCTGGCCCAGCTCCAAGGGCATTTTAGCTGGAAATAACTCTTCATTACCGGCTGCTGTGGGGCTGCTGTGGGTGCGGATGGCAGGGTTTGGAGGGGACGGGCTGAAACACCTCCGGGAACACCCAGCCTTGTTTCTACCACGGAGTGCTGACTCTGTTCCCTCCTGTGATCCTGTGAGCTCTGACTTGCAGGGACCCGGCGTGGGGGCCCATCCCCCACCCCAGCCTATCCCTCAAAGCCCAGCTTCTTCATCCTATGTCCTGTTTCCTCTCTTTATCTCTCCTTTCCTCTTTCTTCTCCCTTCCCCTCCCTCCCTCTTTCCTTCCTTCTTTGGTACATGGCCCAGACTGCTCTTGAATTTCTCGTTCTCCTGCCTCCCCCTCAGTGCCGGAATTCCAGGCATGCCCACTCTGCCCAGTCTTTTTGTCCGTGTGGTTCACAAAGATTCCCCCCCTCCTGGAGAAGACCCCCCAGGGGGATTTTCTCATCTTCACTCCCTTTGTGCTCCTTCTCCTCTAAGTCCCAGCATCACTCCTCCCCCAGGAAGCCTCCTGTGTCTTCCCTTTGCCACTGGGATGAGGTCCAGAGAGGTGAAGACATTTACCCAAGGTCACACAGCAGAGGAAATAAGAATGAGCAGAAAAAAAGACCTGGGGAAAGAAGGTGGAAGTGAGACGCCCTGAAATGACCCCTCCCCGCCTGTGAAAGAAGGAAAAAGCACCAGACTCCTACAGACTCATGCGCTTCCTAGAAGGCTCACAGCGAGTCCATTTCACGGGCAAGAAAACTGATGCCAGAGAGCCCCAGCCAGACCCCGTGGGCGTGGCAGAGGCAAGACTGATCCCAAGCCTGCCTAGCCTGCGCTGCACTCTCCCATGAGTCCTTGCTGGCCCGGGTTGCCTGACCCTGTCTGGGACCCCCGAGCGGAACCGAGATGGCTTGCTTACCTGAGTCCTTCCGCGCTCCCTCTAAGGCTTCTCCTCGTGGTGTCAGGTCTGTGTGAGCCACACGCACACGCTGCTTGGGAAAGCTCTTCTACTCTCTATTTACAAGAGCGGCTTCTGAGCGAATGAGCCAGGGAAAATGTTTGGCTTCCGTGGGTGGGAGCTGGGGCCATCTGTTCCCAGGCGCTGAGAAAACACCGTAACTACAGCCACAGTGCCCAGCAGAGCCTTGCAGAGTCGGGCCCTGGCACCCACGAGCTGTATGTCCTGAGGCAGGGCACTCCCCCTCTGTGGGCCACGGTGTCTGGGTCTGTACAAACACCAAGGGTCTCTCGGCTCCTCGACCCCAGGATACACGCCCTGCCTCCCTGTTTCTCCCTTGTTACATCCCTTTTGTACACCTCACCCCCGTGAAATCAAGTGCCCCCAACGTGGAGAAGGTCGCTGACGTCTGTGGCAGGAGACTGGGCTACCTAGGACCAGCTTTTAGGGTTTTATGACTAGTGCCCTCATTTGTTCCCAGGCTGAAAATAGCTTTATTGTTTCCTCTGAAAATAAAGAGAACCATTTTCCAGTCCAAAAATTTATGATGTAGGAGGGTAAATGGAGAGAGATAGTCCCTTCCATCAGGGGACACATCTGTCGAGGACAGTGACTTTCCAGATGACTCTCTAAATGGCTCACCATGTCTGGGGTCCAGGATGAAGGAGACTAACTAGGTATTTTGAGATCAACACAGGTTGGGGTATGTATTTCAGTAGTAGAGCATCTGCCTAGAATCCCCCTGTGTGGGGTTGGTATGTGGCTCAGTGGTAGAGCACCTGCCTAGAATGCCCCAGTGAGGGGCTGGGGTGTGGCTCAGTGGTAGAGCACCTGCCTAGAATGCCCCAGTGAGGGGCTGGGGTGTGGCTCAGTGGTAGAGCACCTGCCTAGAATCAGTTAATGAAGGTCTGAGGTGGAGTCAGTCAGCAGCAGATTTTTTTTCCTATCAAGGGCAAGACCATGGTTTTGATTTCTAGCACCATAGGAAGAGAAGGGAGGCAGAAATACAGAGAGACAGAGACATACAGAGAGGAAGTAGAGAAACTCAGGGAATTACCTGCCCTACCCCCGGAGCCTTCAGTTCCCTACCAGGCCCTTTGGAGACTGTAGGCCCAAGGGAGTGGCTCCTTGAGGACACAGTCCTGTCCCCCAAACCTTGTCCTTTATTTCACACGCCAGAGAAAACAAAGGTGACAAGTATAGAACTTGTTCTGCCCTCGCTGTGTGATGCAGGACAAGCGCTTTAGATTCACTTAGAATGGGCTGTGTCACCTGTAAATTGGGATGACAGTGGGGTCACATGTGACAATTATTGGTCCAGAGCTAACACTAAGTCCTAAGTGGTCAGTAACATGAACAGATGTCCTGGGCCCTGTGTTGCTTGGGGCAAAACTGTTGTGTGGGGTGGGGACCGTGAGGAGGGCACTTGTCTGGGATTGAGGCCTACACCTATTGGCAGGGCCTGTTTCCAGTGTGTGAGGCCTGGGCCCGGTGTGTGAGGCCTGTGCCCGGTGTGTGAGGCCTGTGCCCGGTGTGTGAGGCCTGTGCCCGGTGTGTGAGGCCTGTGCCCTGTGTGTGAGGCCTGTGCCCAGTGTATGAGGCCTGTGCCCGGTGTGTGAGGCCTGTGCCCTGTGTGTGAGGCCTGGGCCCGGTGTGTGAGGCCTGTGCCTGGTGTGTGCCCGGTGTGTGAGGCCTGGGCCCGGTGGGTGAGGCCTGGACATTCTATTTAGAAATGCTAATTAGAGCTGTGGCTACCATCTCTGGAGACCTGATTTAATTTTTGGGTAAAAATTTCAAGAGGGCTGGGCGTTGATGGCGCACGCCTTTAATCCCAGCACTTGGGAGGCAGAGGCAGGTGGATCTCTGTGAGTTCGAAGCCAGCCTGGTCTACAAGAGCTAGTTCCAGGACAGCCTCCAAAGCCACAGAGAAACCCTGTCTCGAAAAACCACAAAAAAATTTTCAAGAGGACTGTTAAAACTCCAAGATAATTAAAAATTAAACTGAATAAACTCATGGGAGTGACCCATGCTCTGACTCATCACTGAATATTTTACTGTTAACAGCACAGGAAAATAATTTGTACACTAGCCTTCAGGGCACCACAGTCAATGATGCCACATGAGGTGGCTACCTTCGGGTCAGCCATGGTGTGATTTTTATGCCATAGAAGTTAACCAGCACTTGGGCTGGAGGGATGGCCCAGTGGGTAAGGGAGCTGCCAAGCCTAACAAACTGAGTTCATTCTCTGGGTCCCTCATGAAAGAAGAGAAGCAACTTCTGCAAACTGTACTGTGGCCTCCACACATGTGCTACAGTACATGTGCACCCACACCTACACACATACACACACCACACACACATATGCTACAGTACATGTGCACTCACACTTATACACACACATATGCTACAGTACATGTGCACTCACACCTACACACACACATATGCTACAGTACATGTGCACTCACACCTACACACACACCTACACACACACACCTACACACATATGCTACAGTACATGTGCACTCACACCTACACACACACTCACACCTACACACACACCTACACACACACCTACACACATATGCTACAGTACATGTGTACTCACACACACACACATGTAATTTTTTTAAAAAAGGTAAATTTCTGGGCCATGGTGGCACATGTCTTTAATCCCAGTACTCGGGAGGCAGAGGCAGGAGAATCTCTGAGTTTGAGGTCAGTCTGGTCTACAGAGCGAGTTCCATAGCTACCAAGAAAACCCTGTCTTGAAAAACAAAGCAAGCAAACAAAAAAGATAAATTAACCAGTGATAAAAATGAGGGTTTTTCTCACTGAAGAGCCCATTGTAACTCACATACCATTGTTAACCTTCCACATTGAGAAACTCCTGCCATCATCCTTTATGAGTGTTCCCAAACATATCCCAGGTCCCTGTCAATTTGGCTGCTGCCTGGACAACTGTGGCCTCCTCTAGGCCCTTGGCAGCTCCCTGCCCCCTTAGGACAGACAGCTCCCTTCACAGCATCTCTTCCAGAACAAAGCGAAGCATGTTACCAGAATCTCTGATTTCTTTTTTCTTGGTTTTTCAATACAGTCATGACTGTCCTGACATTCTCTCTGTAGACCAGGCTGGCCTCGAACTCACAGAGATCTGCCTGTCTCTGCCTCCTGAGTGCTGGGATTAGGGGCCTGCATCATCAGCCCTGGCTGAATCCCTGAATTCTTTTGTGGTTCCCACTTACCCTCAGCACACCAAAGCTTGAAGTTCCAGCAAGGCCGCCCATTGCTGACTTTGCCGTCTGTGTTTGGACTACCAAACAGACACAGCACTGTCCCTGGGAGTCCAGGTCTTGGTGCCCTAACGTTTTTGTCCTCTTCGGGATGCAGCAGCCCTGAGGCTCCTGCTTCTACTTCCCTGATGCCTGCCGCATGGCAGCTGCATGTGTCCCTGAGATTTAGGCATGTGTTTTGGGGAACAAAATCAGAGCAGACTGGTACACATTGTGAAAAAAATGGCAGTGTTGGGAGGGCCTGGGCTGGCCAAGAATTGGAGGACAGATCAGCGGTTTCCACCAGTCCTTCCAGGTCGTTAGGGAGAGGACAGTTGTGTCCACTTTACAGGTTGTTTTGTTACAGGGACTCAAGTAGCCTAGCCTAGCCTCCAACTTAGGCAGTGGAGGATGACCTTGAACTCCTGATTTTCCTTTCTCTACCCTGAGTGTTGGGGTTACAGGTGTATGCTACAACAACGTTATGTAGTGCTGGGGTTTGAACACAGAGCTTCATGCATGCTGGGCAAGCACTCTAGCCCGCCCTGCCTTGTAATACCTGACTGTGGAGTGTGAGCCTTCCATCTTTGACCCCCAGGCCTCGCTCATTTAGGGCCAAGCTCCACACTCTCATTGTTCTTGCTGTTTGGCTGGACCTCCCCGTCAGCTGGCAGGATAATCAGATGTTTGCAGTGGGTACGAATATGAGCCATGAGCATCGCTGGCAGCGGAGACATCCCCCAGGCTGGGGATTCAGGGGGAGCATGGCTGGGTTGACAGAAGGAATTTATCTTAGCTGAATTTTTTAATCCTCTTCAAGGATTAAGGAAACTTGTCGCACTTCCCTTGATAATGTCCTTTAAAGATTTAATAGGCTCCAGGCTTTCTAAGAGAAAGGAATTTGAAGGACTTACTTAAGCTCCTGACTCCCTGTGTGACCTTGGCCTGTGGCTCCCTCTGTAAAGGGCAGAGTTGGTAGTGGACAGGTTGTCCTGGATGAGCTGTGTTTAGAAGACCTGGGCTGTAATGGCTACCATGTGTCCTTCTGGAACATTGCCAGCCCCATCTGCCCTGCCCACCGTCAAGCATCTGGGGCAAGTCATAGATCAGCATTGAGGGGCCTGGGTTGTAGTGAATAGTAGAGAGCCTGCCTAGAATAACCTAGTGAGGAGCTGGGGTGTGGCTCAGTGGTAGAGCACCTGCCTAGAATTCTCTAGTGAGGAGCTGGGGTGTGGCTCAGCAAATGGATGTATTAACCCATTGATGGTCCAGAGCTGAAAGCCGTTTGGAAACAGGAATCCAGTCAAAAGAGACAAAGCTATTGAAAAATATACCTTCTTTCCTGCCTGTTGTTCCCTTTGAGCACTCTTTGTCACTTTGTCTCAGTGGCTTCCTGGCTGCCACAGGTAAGCAGGTCTCCTCCATTCTGCCACCCTCTCCTTCATGCTGCCCTGCTTTTCCTTGGGCCCAAAGCAAAGTAACCAGCTGAGCATAGACTGGATTTAACAGGTTTCAGGCTTTCCAAGACAAAGTCCTGAAAGCCAAAAAACCCTTCCTCCTCCCCTCTTGAAGTTGTTTCCCTGGGGTATTTTGTCACAGGCAGAGGAGAGGCTGAGCCTCAAAGGAGGCTGGAACCAAGGACAAGAGTCCCAGGTGACCTTCTCTGCCCCAGAGCACTCACACTTTCTGGCTCGCAGGAGCCCCACACTCCCAGCCGGCCGGGGTGTTCTCTTCTGTTTCCAATGTGCAAGCAGTGAAGAGGAGAGCAGTGGATTGGGCCTGGGGGCGGGGAGAGGG